AGGGAAAGACTTGGCCTGCTGCTCCAATCTGGGCCTTTCTCCAGTTTCTCAAAGGCAGAACACTGGTCCCTAATCATGTGTCATGGACATTTGCTTCCTGTATTGTGGCTGTGGTGTGAGTTGTTGTTGTGCCACCCATCATTCTGGACTCCAGGGTAAAGGTCATAGTTGCTATAGGAGTCATCTCTCACTCTGCTTGTTGCCTTTACAACCACTCAGCTATCGGTCTGGACATATCCTGGTGCTTTCAATACCAGAGGGGCCTCAAATCAACAAGAAGACTCCAAAGGCAAGAACCTGGATGGTGTCTTCACCATTCCTTTGATGCTCCTGGAGGCTGACAGAATTGTTTTACTTCATCCAGGTGCTCTTTTCTTCCCAGCTTAGACAAACAAGTGAGAAAGCACTGGGAGACACTGAATATATGTCTACTGTGAACCAGAAAGGCTGCCACAGGGCTGGTGCTTACATTAAGGTTCTACAACCCAGTTTGGTTTACATTACCTTTCTCAGTGATAGCCAAGTTAGTTCTTCTCTGAACAGTTGCAGGTTAATGAATTCTTGAATTTCAGAAAATAATTAAATATACCAGGTGAGAACAGTATTGCAAGGAACTTAAACAGTAAACACTTTTTAAAATCAGGTAATCATTTCATGGTACAAAGAATTACCTCTTTTTGTAATAATGAGGTGTGGTAGAAGCTTCCCAGAGGATTAATTTAGTAAGCTGGATTGATTTCATTTAACCTGGTACTGTACCAGCGTAGGGTCAAATTCATGTCATCAGACTCCTGGGTATAACAAAGTTATAAAACTCAGAAACAAACCCAGATTCCTACTGACCTCAACAAAATAATTAGGCTAGATTTCCCATACAGAAAATGGGCCATATCATATGTGACCTACATGGTGGAGAAGATGGTAGACATTAGGGGAAGGCTTGGCCAGATGCTCCCATCTAAGCCTTTCTCCAGTTTCTCAAAGGCAGAAAACTGGTCCCTAATCGTGTGTCATGGACATTTGCTTCCTGTACCGTGGTTGTGTTGTGAGATGAGGTTGTGCCATCCATTATTCTGGACTCCAGGATAGTGTCTTCACCATTTCTTTGATTCGCCTGGAGGCTGACATCTTATGATGGATTTTCTTAAGCAAGAACACACCTCCATCCAGTCCCCTCAGACAGCCAAGTCTCCACTAGCATCTCAATGGGGCGCTTTCATTGAATATTTTTTGATAAAACTCATCAAGTACCTGAAACTAGAAAGATTATGTTGTTTCAGACCATCGCTTCCCATTCAAGTGACTAAACTCCTCCAAATGTGAAAGCTACACACTGCTACTCCAGGAAGTACAAGTCTCAGCTCCCCTTTTTTACTTTAAGGTGAAACTCTGGTATATCTGGTGCTCAGTCCACAGTGATTCACTTTCCAGGGAGAGATCACATGACATGAACTGCCTGGTGCTACAACCTAGCTGACATATTTCATGCTACCCTGTATGTGGTGATTATTTTGATTATACAAGTTTTATTATTTTAAGTTATGCTATTAAAAACAAAAATAAAAACCACACAGTGGGGGAAATGCCATGCTACATATCATTGTCCTCTGAATTGGTTACATGGTATACTCAATCCAGCATGTTGCCTTCCCTGTATCTCTGTGCTGCTTTGCCTGTACCTCCCCAACCTCCTTCAGGGGTATCTTGTGAGTACCTCACTGCTTAAAACAGACTGTAATCATAGCCTGCCATTGCGTGACATTTCAATAAATGGCCAAATTTATTGACGTTTTCATGTGATTCCTTACTCCAACTCTGAGACTCCCACATCCAGTGTTACCTTCAATTTTAGCAACCTGGAGGAGGATGCTATCAATTTCTTCCTCCCACACACCTTCCCATATTTATTCAGTGTAGACATAATACTGAAGAGAAATAACTCACATCTAGAAGAATTTGTTTTGGATATTCAATCCTTTTTCAAGGGTAGTGTTTTGTAAATTCAAACTAGAAAGGTAGAACACATAGATATAAAGATAGAACCCACTCATGGAATTAGTAAAAGCATTGAAGTAGGGAAGAGCTGGCCATATACAGATGATCCCTAGAATGTTTCAGGGTTGTATGGGAGTAGTGGAAAAGCTGTTTTTGGTTGAGACAGCATCACAGAAGGCGATGAACCTTTGAAAACTATTTTATGACTGCTAGGTAACTCTTATCTTGCAAAGCTCAGCTCAAATGCTACTTCCCCTGGAAAGCCTACCCTGACTGTACCAGAAAAACTGAGGCAATCCTCTGCTCCTGCTACGCATTGTTCATTTTCCACTAGAAAAGTAGCTCTTGATCAGAAGTGATATTGTCTCCTCAAGAGATATTTGGAAATGTCTGGAGACATTTTGGTTTTCAAACTGGGGATTGGGAGAGACGACGACTGCATCTGGCAAACAGAAATGAAGGAAGTTGCTAAATATTCTACAGGGCCACAACTCCCTAACAACAAAGAATTACTTGGTTCAAAATGTCAATGGCTATGAAGTTGAAAAGCTCTGCACTAAAACAATTATCATCTTGGAGTGAGTAACAGAGGTACTGGGTTGAGTAAAATTGAGATCTTGCTAAAACTCAGACCTCCAGAAAGGACTACTAAACTAAATGAGAAAGACCTCAAAAGAAAAGAAGAAAAAAAATGCATCAGATTCACAACACACCAGCTTGATAAAGGCATCTCAATGTTGAATGAAAAGCTTGATAGTGAACAGAGCTCTAAAAGGATCTTGGACTAGCCCGTGGGGACATAGGAGCCTTCATCTTAGAACTGAGGCAATAAGCCATGTAAATTAGATTAATTAACCTCTTCCAACTGAGGTTTCTGATCAAACTGATCATAGATGTAATCAACCAGATAAAAATATTAGCTTCACTAATGGTGAGGCTGACTTGAAGAAAGTACCTTGGGTACAAATAGAGAAGGACCTTCCTACCCTTTATGTCATCCCTACGGCAGGACCAGAGACCTCCCTCCAGAGACACTCTGAGCTAAGAATGGAGAAGGGAGGCAGGAAGAGAAAGAGAGAAATTGACCACTCAAACTATTCATCTCAGTTAATAGAAGTTTAACAGCTTGGGACCAGCAGACAGCATAATGGTTACATTATGGTTATTCAAACCATGTTTTGAGTCCTGGACCCAATGGCTTAAATCTCACACCAGGTGCATGAGTGTGCATGCCTGGTGGGTGATTTCTCACTTTCTGTCTATTTGTCTCTCTCTGTCTCTTTGGTGAGCACATGCACCCTATAGCAAAAATATCTCTTAAAAAATAATAAAAAATATCACAGCTCAAATTTTCCACAATAGCAGCACTCTTTTTCTTTTTGGGGGGGGGGGGGGGGGGGTTTCACTATACGCGGCACTGCACAC